TTGCACATCTCAACCCCCCAGCAGAGCCCATTGGTGATATTATAAGTAAACTGCTGCAAACTGTTCAACATGCTTATAGAGCTTTAAAGTGCAATGATCAATGCATTCAGTATTAAAGGGTTAGTTCACCCAAAAATGAAAATTAGGCTGAGTTTTAAAAGTTTCCTTACTTTAGCAAAGGAAAACAAGTCTCCTCTTGGCTTATATCGAAATCCTCCGACATTCTTCCTTACAAATCCTCATTTTGTACTTCTAATTAGTGACCGTTGTTTTGTTCTCTCCGCGTGCGTCACTTCTGAGCCGCGCATGCGCAACGCTGAACTCATACGTGTACAACAGTGAGCGTAAGCTAGATTCAAATGATTATTACATTTTGAATATGGATATTTTTCTTACAAAAACACATCGATTCGCTACAGGAGGCCTTTGTTCACCCCCCGGAGCCGTGTGAGACACCTTTTTTTATGGAAGGGTGCTTTTTATTTCACGTCTTTTGGACAGAAGCAATGCAACACCCGCTGAGTGCAGCGATAGAGCTTGAAAGATCAAAGACAATTTTTAATATAACTCCGACTGGATTCGTCTGAAAGAAGAAAGTCATATACACCTAAGATGCATCGGGGGTGAGTAAAACGCAGCCTAATTTTAATTTTTGGGTGAACTAACCCTTTAATGCTAATATGCATGCAGTTAACATTCAAGCTCTATATGCACTGAGCATTAAGGGTCTATACATTAAGCAGCAATAATTCTATATATTCTATCATTCTCTCTCTCTCTTTATATATATACTGTATATATATATATGAAGAGTTTGGTTCCGAAACGCTATAAATCCATTTTTGATTAATTTGAGTAAAAATGTGATTTTTTACCAAGAAAGTGGCAAGATGAAAACCACTATTTTCTGTTTCAAACTTTCACATAGCATCTTTAGGTTATAATAGCATTAAAAATTCAAATCCAGATTTTGATTTTCAAAGATTTACTATAAAAACTGATTATTTTTTCCCAAAATGCAATAAATGCATTGAATCAGTATAAAAGTTATTTTTCATATTGAAAGTAAAGTAAGTTGATCCACATATGACAGCTTCTGAACTTGGTCAATACTAATCTTATTAATAGCTTGCGTTTTCTTCCCTCTTATGTTAAGCATTAATTGTTCTATAAGAATTGAGTGTTAATATTCTTTATGCATTGATCATTAAAGTCCCATATGCATTTACATTGAAAATTAATGGTCTATAAATGATATTAGATAGATAGATAGATAGATAGATAGAAAGAATCATTTATATAGACCATTAATACTGAATGCATAAGGAACTTTAACATACATAAAAAAATATGTGCTCTATATAAAATTAGCAATAGTTTGAGCAACTAAGCATCTATGTTCTGTATGCATTCATTTTTCTATAGGAATTTAGCATTAATGTCCTATGAGCAAATAATATTAATTATTAATCATTAATAAAAAAAACATTATAATGCTTTTTATGCATTGATCATTATGCATTGATTTTTTTAATGCATTCTACATGCACTCAGCTTTGAAATTTTCTATGATTTTCATTAATGGTCTATGCATTATATATATATGTTCTAAACGGGTTATTTTTTTCTATATGAAGTGAGAAAATGCAAAGAGTACTTTATGCATTATCATTATATATTCAGTAGCAATGCTCTGTATAAACTGATCACCAAGTTTCTACATGCATTAATAATATATGTATATGCATCAGTAGCTTCACAAGAACCGAGTAGTAAGAATTTATATGCATTGTCTATTAATCCACTGTATGCATTCAGCATCTGTCTAAACAACAGACTAATAGAGAGGAGGAGAAAGTAGCAGAAGTTGAGCGGTACCTGCAGAGCCGAAGCCCAACAGGAGCGCAGTTCTGTCGGTCCAGCCGAGCCAGTGAAGCAGCGCCGCGAAGACACACGCTAACAGCGCCGCTGCTGCGCTTCTCATGGACGCACGGCTGGGTCCGGACACCGACGCTTAACGGGCTGCGCACACAACGAACGGACCGCCGACTCGACGCGACGCGCATCGCTGATGTGATGAGTGTCCGACGCGCCGCGTCATGTCTAACTGCACGCTGATGACGACAACACTCGGGCAGCCAATAGGAGTGGAGCGGTCGACGCGCTGTGCCTTCTGGGAAATGTAGTTCAATAAGTTTCCTGTTGCCATGAAGATTACGTCAAAGTAGCCATTGACTTTCCTTTTTAACAATAAAAAGTGCATGGTGCAAGGTCTTGATTGCTTCTATTGTCCTCATTTGTAAGTCGTTTTGGATAAAAAGGTCTGCTAAATTACTTAATTTAAATGTAAATGTAAATATAACAGTATCTATTTCAAATAGTTTTTTTTTCTGAAATCACTTAACTAATGTTATCGGATAATGTATAATGCATGTAATTAATGTGCTAATTTTCTTGGGTCAAATATATAGTATACATAAACTGTGTTGTCATTAATCTGTCTTGTAATTATTTCATAATCACAAAAATATAGTGTGCAATACTCTACTGCACCGCTAGGTGTCTCCCTTGAACACACAATATTATAAACTTGTATGTTATTGTCAGAGCAAACATATTAAATCAAGCATATCATTCTTATAATGCAAGCAAGCACACTAAATATTTAATGCAGACAGTTTTAAAGTGTTTATTAATTTGTACAACTGCACAGATCTAAACATTCAGACTTCTAAAAGAGAAAAGTGCAGAAAAGCACCAACAAATCCATACATTTAGGCATCGATTCAATTACAAGGTATCTCAAAGTTCTAATATTTAAATAGGGTAATCGGTCCATGCAAGTTATGTTTTTATAATAACAATCATAATATTATTTAAAAGTTATTTTACATGTTGGGGTTTAATTGTACCGTAATTCTGTAGAAATCAGCTGGACTCCATTTCATTCGCTTGGAAAACCAACAAACCCACATTCTCACTGAACACATGGAGCATTAGTGCTATTATAAAAGTAAATATTAAGCGTTTAGAACACAATATCATTTTAAATACCCACCGTACAGACACACTCTTTGCTTTCCATGAATTTAAAGGCGATCTCATGCAACGATAGCATTTCAAATATACATCTGTGCACTTTTCGAGGAGGATCTTCAGATATAAGATACGTTTGGGAGTCAAAAAGACCCTTCGTCCACCGTGGCACACGTTAAAGGGGCTTTAATACAGGTTACACAAGCAACACCTCCATCAGGTGCTGCGCATTAGATATAACAACACTTGGTTTCGTATAAATTAGCAAAGGCTAGACTAAAATTACAGAGATATAAAGAAAAACATTTGACATTGTGCTTTTTTTGTTTCTTTGTTTTGAATAGGAAAAAGCCTGTGAAATAACAGTGTAGAGGACACGCCATAGTCACAGTACTTGGCACTCAGAAACCACCTCTCGATACACACACACACACACAAACACACTCACACACACACACACACACACACACACACACACACACACATGCA